CCCCAGAGGGACCGCCAGTCTTGGTGGGCCGCAATTTTCCGAACCTGTACCAGCTGCAGGCGGAGGCCGTCGAATTCAGAAGAGATGTCTGGCCATAGAGCGGGTAGACCATTGCTGACTCTCTCCCATTCATTGATGGCAACCTGGCTGTCCGCCCAAATTTCAGCCGGGCATTGGTTTGAGTCCGCTATGCGGACGGCTTGCAAAATGGCACAAAGCTCCGCGCGGTGGATGTTTTGCTCGCCCGGCACCAGACCAACTGTATGCACTCGAAAGCAGGGCGGCAGGCAGCCGCCCGCACGCCAAGTTGCAAGGTAACCCGGGACCTCGAAGTCTGCAGCAGAAGTGTCAATAATGACGGCGTACCCCGCACGGGAAGCCAGCGGTAATGTGGGATGTTTACATGTGCCATCGGTGAACATGCGAAGAAAACCCCTGGGGCCAGGTAGGTCAAGCTCTGCTGGGAGGGGCAACGGCGGGGGGAGACCTCTGGTACAGAAGATGAGGCGGTTCACTTCAGTATGTGGAGGGCTCACCGCAAAAGGTCCGTGACACCAGTGGGGCCACTCCGACAGTGCATAGTCCAGGAAAGCCCGGTGGGGGGCCCGCAGTTCATCTAGGGCGGGGCAGTGCAGAATCTTATGGGCCTTAGTCTGCTTGCTGCCACACAGTGGGCATTCCGCTGGTATGTCATCGTCCCATTTGTTTTTGGCCGCCGCTGACCCGAAGCTGCCGGCCACATGGCGAGCGATGATCAGCTGTTCGTTGGCATTCAGCTTCCGGAACAGTTGTCCGGTGTCCGCGGGGAGTGGTGGATCAAGCTGTCGTAGCCCATTGCGGTGGTTGACATTCAGAACAACTTGAAAAGCCCACGCCCTCTGGACCAGGTCGCGGACAGATTTCGGGCGACACTTGTCAAGATAAAGGCGGGAATTATCCGGGCCACGAACACACGCATCCTCCGTCAAAGAAATGCCCAGGCGTGGCAAACTGAGAGCAAAAGCTGAAGCGGGGCCACAGCTGTTTTTGAAAGATCGCGGTTCGGTGGCCAGCGCGAGCACCGAAACAGCCAGTTCTGGATTGACCGAAAAGCAGCGGCGCAGGGCCAGCAACTGTTGGAGCACCGCGTAGGCTTGCGGGTCCGTAACCTGGTGGGTAAGGGCACCTAAAACCAGAAAAGGGGAGCCTATCTTATTACGTCCCAGTATGGCCGTCGCAGCTCTGCTACGGAGCTTCTGGAAGAAGGAGAGAGGCTGGCAGTAGCTCTCGCACCCGTAAAGCACCGAAGGCCAAATCCCCCTCTGCACCATGAAAGCTTTCTCTACAACAGGCCGAGGCTGGTCACGCAGTCTGTCGAGTTTTTCGAGGGACTTCGGCAATCGAGCATCTCGGGCAGTTGCATGTGCCTGCTTGTCGTAGCTGTACACGGTGCCAAGGTCGGTGGCAACCGATACACAGGGGACGACTTGGTCCGTGGGGAACATGTTCTGGCCCGCCTTTTTAAGCCACACCCGGTCGGGTCGTTGGACGGCCCAGCAGTACGACTTCTTCCAATCGACAGGGAGTTTGAGGGCCCGCAGAAAAGCAAAGGAAGTCTCCAGGCCACACTGCAGTGGGGCCTCTGTTTCGGCGGCCCATGCCCAGTTGTCAACGTAGGTGTCGAAATCAACTGCTTGGTCACACAAATGACAAGCGAATCTGGCGACCGCTGCCATCACTGCAACACTAAAAGGACAGCCCTCTGGGGCTCCGTTCCAACACTGGAGGCCGGGACCAAAATCAGCCCCAAAACAAGCATGGCGGCGGAGCTTACTCAAGCAGTCGGCCCAGAATCGGGCGATGGGTTCCGGTACGCCCAGGGACAGGAGCATGCTCACCGCCGGCTGCCATGGTATCTGGTTGAAACACTTGACCAGGTCAATCGACACTCCAAGACGGCGGTGTCTGAAAATGATGGCACGTTCTATCTTATGCTGTTGCTCATAACTGAGATCTCTGCAAGAGCGGTGAGGCATGGAGCCAGCGACGGATGCGGGGAACTGCTTCTGCCACTGTTGAAGTATCTGGCGAGTGACAACTGATGCCCATACTCGGTAGAGCGTGGAAAAGATAGTGATCGGGCGGCTCTGTGCAATGGAGCTGGGCTCCGCGACTTTGGCCATGACCGAGACTTTGGCGCGTAGTAGGTGTTCCGGCAGGCCCCAACGGACTGCTTGGCGGAAAAGGTCACATAGCACCTGTATGGCGGCCAGGGACAACAGCTTTAGATCACCCGGGGCCCACCCGCACACGCCAGTGGCCTTTCGGCGTGGCATCCTTTTAATGGCCCGGTGCCACAAGTCGGCATCGAAAGAATCGACCGAGAGGCTGGCTTCGGGGGCCCCGTAGGACTGAAGGAGGGCGCAGAACTCCGGCCACTCATCATTACTTCGACTGGCTGGGCCTTTGTCCCTCTGCCAAAGCCTGTTCCAGAAATTAGCAAAGACCCCCTGCAGCTCGGGACCCGTACATGCAACAACAGCTTGGTGGAACTCGCCGTGTTTGGGCAAATTGGTGCCACTTACCGAGACCCCGGCGGAGTCAACTTTCAACACCTGGCAGGGCACACCTGAGATCATGGCCGGACCCGGGCACTGGACGTACGTATGGGGCGGGACCTCGTAAGTTGTACATTCGCCCGGTCTGTGGACCTGCTCGGTAGGAAACGTGACCTCATGGGGAACCTCAGTGAAAGGGGGATGTGATGGCCCTCGCATGGTGGCGTAGCCGTCCCTTGAGGAGGCACATACGCCGTCTAGTTGCACACGCAGCCTGTATGTGCGCCGGCGGGTGGTGGCCTGCTGGCGGGCAATGTTGTCTGCATCAAACCGCAGGTACTGGCAGAGATCCTCAAGCCAATCAGTGTCGGGCAAGCTTGTAGGGAAGGCGGTAAAGTGTGCAACTTTCAAGACCCAATCGGGGAAGGAGGGCGGGTAGCCCTTTGCACGGCAGATGGCCCCCCATTCCTGCTCGAGTTGTCGATGCAGAGGACTGTTGGGGCAGGTAGTCAGACGGGAGAGCTTTTTCAACCCGGACAACAGTGTTTGGGCGCGTCGAACTTGGCGGACTTTCAAATGGCCAAGGACGGAGGTGACTTCTTCGTCCGGTGTGTAGGTGCCGTCGCGGGCAGGACGGACAATGCACGGTAGCGGCCGTTGCTGCAGGGAGCGGTAGGCACACCTCCCGCGGTAGGCCTTTGGCAGGGTAGTGTATGGCTGCCGGATTGGGTCGGCCGTATGTTGCTTATGAATGGCCCGTGATACAGCCGCCTCTGCAGTTTCTGAAAACCGGAGCAGGAGGGACCCGACATCCTCGGAAGAAGTGCAGTTGGCCGCGGCACGCTGTAGGGACGGGCAGTGTGGAGCAAATTCGCGCTCGAAAAAGTCAGCCGAAGGGGACAGGTCAGACCAAGGCCGTGGCAGGTTCCAGGCGGTGCGGCACGGTTGGCACTTGTATGCCCGGAAGCTAAAGAGCAGGGGTGCATGTGAGTCGAAGAGGTGAGCCTCGGTGAGGACGGTGGCCCCTTCCCAATGCGGCAGCAGCGCCGGATGAATCAGGGCAGTGTCGTGCCTGGTGCTGTTGCGACAAGTGGGGGGGAGGTGAGTTCGTTCACGATTGTAGTGCAGCACGTTCACCTCTTGGTAGCCGCTCGCCGCAAAATGCGCTCCAGCGGGGAGTTCGAGCGGCGGACAGTTGAAGTCGCCGGCAACAATACAGGGCACCGCGGTGCCGGAGGCCCGGTGCCATGCCATCCTGAGCAGTTCATTGGTACGGTCCTTAGCGTCGGCCTGGGACAGGGGAAAGCCGTAGATCGCAATGATGCGGACCTCAAGGGCTCCGAGTCGGACGAAGCAGTCCATGAGGCGGCAAGTGTCGAGAGCTTCTCTGTCCATAGGGGGCCGCGCTGCTCTGCAAGGGAGGCGGGACATGGCGGCAACGCCGGCGGCGTGGCCTCGAAGGGATGTGCCAACACTGCCATCCCTGTGGTGGCTGGGCACGGGGCGGCCCCAAAGACACTTAAAGTGGTGCGGTCGCATGGCTCTGGCGGTTAATAGCTGTGCCTGCTCAACGGCGGACGTTTCAGAGAGGACCAAGACATCCGCTCCGAGCTGCTGGAAGCACTGGGCTTTGTGCAAGACACTTGTTGGATTCACGACAGCAAAAGTGCAACGGTCAGGACTTGGCCGTGGTGTCTGAGAAGCTTGTAGGTCAGTCGTGCGCTTTGCCGGGTCGCCGAAGAAGGTGTGCAGGTTGGTCTGCGGGCCCGGGTGCAGGGCCTCCCCGTAGCGGAAGCCTGCTGAGGGTGCGCGCCGTGGCGAGCGGCAGGGCTGGAGGAGTCGCCGGAGCAGTGTGCAGCTACACGGCACTCCTGGGGACGCCATCGTTCGTAATGGGGCAGCCACGGTACCCATCGCAAAGTGCCAGGACCAATGCCTGGGGCAGGTAGTGCTGTATTGGGGTTGACCCCGGGCAGCGTGTTGTCCCGGAGGGGACGGCCTCAGGGGACACCTTAGTTGGGCCGCTGGATTAGCACAGTCATGGTGGCATCGTAGCTGTAAGTCTGCTTTGTGGGACCCCGGGTGGGCCACGGAAGTTGCTGGCAGTCGCGACACCACAAGTTCTGGCTGAATCGACACGCGCAAATTGGAACGGAGATTCTGTACACTAAAGGAATGGCTGGGCATGGCCCTGAAACTGAGGCGAGCTTCATCGCCTTGGAACAAAGTTTGGCTGCAGGTGGTGGCACCGCGGCTAGCTGTGGTGGTGGGACGGTCCCCGTGTCCCGAAGTATCGGTCCGCACGATAACCCCGTGTGCGAATCTAACACAGTCGACAGAGGGAGCTTTGGCCGCTTCCCGGCCGGTAGGCTCGCAAGGTCGAACATATCCCCTTGAATGAAGTGCATTCGGTAAAAACCCCGGCCAAAATGGCCTCACTCGTGAAAATGGCGGGAGCAGGAGTCACAGGTCGTGATCGCAGGTGCGGGCTTTCTTGTTCTCATGACAAGCCAAAATAAGCGCTTTCAGCTCTTGCATCCCGGAGTTCATTTGTTGCTCCTGCTGGCTTTGTGCATTGCGCAGCCCATCCAAGTTGCTCTGCAGTTGCAGTTGGAGGCTCGCTCCCAGTGATTGCACTTCGCCGCGGACACTCTGGATCTCGGAGGCGGTTTGGACCCGATCTTGCTGGCGTTCAGCGGCAGCCTTGAGCTGATCATCCCTAAGGGCCTGAAGGTTTTGCTCCAGCTCGGCAAGTCGGGACTCTGTGGTATGCATGCGGCCGGCAAGGTGGTGGTCTAGCGGTGGGGCCGCACTGCTGGTTGAGCGGGGCGCCGGGCCAGGGATTGACGGTGGACGCATAACGGCCGTGGTGGCCTTGTATTGGCTCCAAGGATCGTTCTCAAGCCAAGGGTCAGGGCTGCTCTGGGCAGCAGGTTGCGGCTGAGGCAGAGGGCCGCCCGCCTGGATCACCGGGCGCTTCTGTTCCCTGCCTTTGACCTCGCTGATCAGCACTGGTGTGGAGTTGAAGCGCGTGGTCTGTGCTGGCGGTTGGCTCTCAGCACCAAGCAGCCAAAACGTGGGGCCTAGCGACTTAAGTGCTTTTGCTGGCCACTGCAGTTTGGCCGCCCATGCGACTATATCGTCTGCTGTGGTGCCTGCTGGGAACGGGCCTGCTTTGAACATTGTTTTAACTGTGACGGACACTGGGGGCTCCATGCCGGGGCGCAACTGGCGGAAGACTTTGTCAAACGAGGCCACCGGGACTCTGACACCAAATCTGGCCCGAGACCTGACCAACCCGTGCTGTTCAGCGATCAGTCCTGCCTGTTTGGCAGAGTCAGTCTTATCACCAGTGAGCCAAACGACTGACCAGCCTGGCAGTAGTTGGCGGTCCCAGGTTTTGGGGATCAGGAAAACGCTGTTGAAGCCAGACTGCTGCAGGAGCGGCCGTAGCAGCGCGGTTGTCACTTTGGCATTGAAGCTGCAGGTATCACTAAGGTGTGGTTGGCTTGGGCGGCCGTCGCAACGGTACTGCCGGCTCCATGGGTCATTGAAGGCCTGGTGGACCCCGGCCTTGCGGAAGGCCTCTGCTGCAGTGCGAACCGGGGCCCGGACAACCTCTTGCCACTCTTCTTGGGCAAAGTCAGAGCTGTGCATGGAGAAGGTGCAGCAGGTGGTGCCTGTGACGGTGATGTCCGTGCCATGCTGTACGTGTGGCTCTAAGTTAGTGGAGCCGACATTATGGTAGCACGCTGCAAGCAGGTGGGTCTGGCCGCTAGCACGGTGGCGGGCCGGCACACTTATCGTCCCGCAGCAGGACTCGGGGTCCGGGCAATCGTGGCCTGGGATGACAACACAGAGAGCATCTGACTCTATGTTGCGCAATAGGTCGAGGTCGACTGACGTGGCCTCCCGAGCATCCAACAACAGTACGCCCTCGCTGTTATGGGAGGCGGTCTGCAGGATCGCCGCAGGGGCACCATCAATTCCTACCCACGAGCCTTCCTCAAGTGTGAAGTCACAGGCCCGAACCTCGGGGGATCCAGTGAGCCGCCGGCGCCGAACGGCTCGCTGCAGCCGCTTCGCGGCTTTTTCTGTGCGGTTGTCACCCTGTGGCAGTGGCACCCCTACCGTGGAGGCTACATTCTTAAGCTCCAGCCATTGCTGTGCGGTGTCAGTACCCGACAGGATTTTCAGGCAGGCGGCCGAACCCAACTTAGGAACCAGATTATCAGCCGTAACCGAGGTTTCAGGGAGGCTCACGCCTCGGTCCAGCAGCAGGGTGGCAACCTTCGTTTTTGCCAGCTGCACGTTTTCGTCCTTGACCCCGCCCCCTATGATTTGCGGCTGAATGGTCACAAGGAGGTGCCCCGTTTTCCGGATCACACTGGCAGTGGTCTGGGCGGCGACTTCTGCAATGGTAGCTGCGGGGTCATGGGGATGTGGGCCGGAAAACACCCTGTGGCGCCCGGGAAGTGCACAAGCTACGGAAGCACATTGCCACCAGTCCGAGATGTTCTGCAGCGTGGTAGCCCCTGGGAGGCGCCCGATCCACAAGCGGCAGGCAAGAAGCTGGATTTCGACCTCAATGGCGGGCTCGCCGATGCTGCATGTGTTGTCCTCGACTTGGGAAATGAAGAGCCACACCCGGCACTGGTTGTGCAACAAGTCGGCAGGCATGATCGGTCGGCCCTGCAGCGGCTGGAGGCGGAATGCAACAGGTACATGGTCCCTGGGCGGCAAGCCCTCTATTTCAGATCCCCAACCCAGGGCAGACAGCAGCTGAAAGGGGAACCCCATCCACAGGTCACCCGCTGCGCAAGAGGGACCCCGGAAACACACAGTGTCGTCCTGCCTGAACACTGCAACCTTGGACACATGTGCAGCGAGCTGGCGTAGCGAAAAGGCTGGGACGTCTTCGTCCTCGCTGAGGGCAACAATGCAGCTGCCGAAGGTCTTGTGATCCGTGAGTCGTTGCCCCGACAGGGAATACACACCGAGGCAGCAGTTGGGGTCGTGGTCGGGATCCAAAGCACGGAAAACATGCAAGAGCTGGGACCAGGATCGCGGCCCAGAGTGGTCTACTAAGTAGACGGTTGCATGCGTCAGGACAGTGCAGAGACCACTCTGGACGCCTGAGCCTCCAATGAACCCACTCATATTTAAGGAAGGTGCGCCGGGAACTTGCAAGCAGGTGGCTGCGGCAGAGGGCAACTTGGGCAGTGCATCGAAACCTGTCTCCGTGTTCCTGTAATTGCCCGTAGCTCCTATCAACCGTGCCACTGGCAAGCCGGCAGGGGCGGCTAGGGAAGTGGCAACATCCTGGCCTGGGGTGTGGAACAGTACTTCAACGAACACTTCTGGGCCATCGACCTGGAGGGCATCGGGCTCGCTGACCTGCAAAGTCTGTATCACCTCAGGGATTTGGTCTTGCCTGCAGAGGATCCAGCCAGTCGTGACGGGTATCAGAGCAGTGGTGGAGCATCGCAGCCGATCGGCCAGGCACCACTGAGTCGCTAACATCATGTCAGGTGCGCCCGGGCAACGCATCAAGCGGCAGGCCTGGGCAAGCGCAGCTGCAGCATGCGGCACAGCAATGGCATTTCCGAGCAAGCGCATCTGGTCGTGACGGCTGGCCAGAAGGAGCACCGGCTGTACCGCCCCGTGGACGGCTGCGATCTCAGCGCCTGAGAAGAACCTCAAACCTGTGGCATCCTGAAGAAGGCAACCGTGTAGGCCTTGCTGTTCGAGCATTCCGGCCGGCAGCTCGTGCTGAAACTGGTACTGTGCAACGAAAACGCCCGCACAATCCTGTGGGCGGCGCACCCTGTACTGCTGTGGGGTCTGGGGCCTTAAACCAGGACGGGAAGGCGTGGGGACCTGGCCGTCCTCACAGCCCATGGTCAGCTGGGCCGCTGCAACGGTGCTTGTTCGCCGCTCTCCAGAGCCAGACCCTCGTCTGGCCGTCCTCACAGCCCAGGAGCTGTCTACAAAAGCTGTGATCGTTCTCCGGAACCAGGATCCTTGCACCCACCCCCACCATGGGGTCCCAGCGGACCCTGATGCTCTTCCTCTTTCTTTTGCACCCATGCAATTCACTTGCATCAACCAGAAGACTAAAACTCGGCTCCTTAAGTGAATGAATTCGTCAGATACAAGTTCGGCTTTATTTAATAATAATTCAAAGAAATCATAAGGGAAATTATATAAGAAATTATAAGAGGAAGTATAAGAGAAATCAAGATTACTGGCAGGAATAGCATTCTGTATTCAAGAGCCTTATACGGCCTCTCTTTCCTTTCCATGGCCATCAAGGGCCGGCCTAGGACTGGGCCTGGAGCCTCGGGGTTGCTCGTGAACCCTGCACTGCCAGGACCCTGGTCTGGCCGTCCTCTTCCTTCGCCACAGGCTCCTTGCTGGGACCCTACTAGGACGTCAGTTCACGGCTTAGGACTGAGCGTCGGAGCTGTGTAGGGCCGCTCTCCGAGAGCCATTTTGGTGCTTGTTCGGAGCTGTGTAGGGCCGCTCTCCGAGAGCAGCGGCGGCGGCGGGCCTGCCACCACTGGGCCGCTCTCCGAGAGCCATTTAAGCTTTCTCAACCCCGAGGTTGGTGCTTGTTCGGAGCTCTGTCTCGGGAGCTGCAATTCAGGATCCTTGCTCAAGCAGTGTGAGCACTCGGCACTGGCCACATCGTGGCAGGTTCATAGCTCTGTTCGGAGCTGTGTAGGGAGCTGTGATCGCTCGGCACTGGCCACGTGTGGCGGAGCTGTAGCACTGTTCTCCTTCGTTGCATCAAGCGTCCGGCTTCCGGTACACCGAGCTCTAGCCTCCTTAAGTGACCGCCCATTACCCTGGTCAGCGGCGGCGGCGGGCACCACTGGGCCGCTCTCCGAGAGCCATTTGAGCGTGCTGCTCTGCACTTGGTGCTTGTTCGGAGCTGTGCACTTGCGGATCACCACGGGCCGCGGCTTCGTGGGGGATCCCCGCTTTTGCTCTCCGAGAGCCATTGGGGTTGCTCGTGACCTCCAATTTGCCTTGCCGATGAGGGCCTCGCTTTTGCTCTCCGAGAGCCATTGGCATAGCTCTGTTCGGAGCTGTGTAGGGAGCTGTGATCGCTCGGCACTGGCCACGTGTGGCGGAGCTGTAGCACTGTTCTCCGGAACCAGGATCCTTGCACCCACCCCCACCATGGGGTCCCAGCGGACCCTGATGCTCTTCCTCTTTCACTTGCACCCATGCAATTCACTTGCATCAACCAGAAGACTAAAACTCGCCTCCTTAAGTGAATGAATTCGTCAGATACAAGTTCGGCTTTATTTAATAATAATTCAAAGAAATCATAAGGGAAATTATATTATAAATTATAAGAGGAAGTATAAGAGAAATCAAGATTACTGGCAGGAATAGCATTCTGTATTCAAGAGCCTTATACGGCCTCTCTTTCCTTCGCCACAGGCTCCTTGCTGGGACCCTACTAGGACGTCAGTTCACGGTAGGACTGAGCGTCAAGCTTGACGTGGCGAGAGTCGCTCCCGGCCGTGGGCCCTTGGGGACCTCCTTCACTTGCACACCCTAAAGCTTGTCTTGGCGGCAGAAGCGAGCTCCGATGAGGGCCTCGCTATTGCCCTATGTTGCCATTGCGAACTCTGCACTTGCGGATCGCCACGGCGGCTTCGTGGGGGATCCCCGGCGGCTTCCGGTACACCGAGCTCTAGCCTCCTTAAGTGACCGCCCATTACCCTGGTCAGCGGCGGCGGCGGGCACCACTGGGCCGCTCTCCGAGAGCCATTTGAGCGTGCTGCTCTGCACTTGGTGCTTGTTCGGAGCTGTGCACTTGCGGATCGCCACGGCGGCTTCGTGGGGGATCCCCGGCGGCTTCCGGTACACCGAGCTCTAGCCTCCTTAAGTGACCGCCCATTACCCTGGTCAGCGGCGGCGGCGGGCACCACTGGGCCGCTCTCCCGAGCCATTTGAGCGTGCTGCTCTGCACTCGGTGGCGGCTCAGAGACCTGCGCAGGTCTCTGAGCGGCGGATGAGGGCCTCGCTATTGCCCTATGTTGCCATTGCGAACTCTGCACTTGCGGATCGCCACGGCGGCTTCGTGGGGGATCCCCGGCGGCTTCCGGTACACCGAGCTCTAGCCTCCTTAAGTGACCGCCCATTACCCTGGTCAGCGGCGGCGGCGGGCACCACTGGGCCGCTCTCCGAGAGCCATTTGAGCGTGCTGCTCTGCACTTGGTGCTTGTTCGGAGCTGTGCACTTGCGGATCGCCACGGCGGCTTCGTGGGGGATCCCCGGCGGCTTCCGGTACACGGAGCTCTAGCCTCCTTAAGTGACCGCCCATTACCCTGGTCAGCGGCGGCGGCGGGCACCACTGGGCCGCTCTCCGAGAGCCATTTGAGCGTGCTGCTCTGCACTTGGGAGCTGTGCACTTGCGGATCACCACGGGCCGCGGCTTCGTGGGGGATCCCCGCTTTTGCTCTCCGAGAGCCATTGGGGTTGCTCGTGACCTCCAATTTGCCTTGCCGATGAGGGCCTCGCTTTTGCTCTCCGAGAGCCATTGGCATAGCTCTGTTCGGAGCTGTGTAGGGAGCTGTGATCGCTCGGCACTGAGCGTCAAACTTGTTCGGAGCTTTGTAGAAAATTTCGGCGGCAGAAGCGAGGTCTAACCCTGTTCGGAGCTGTGTCGGGAGCTGTGATCGCTCGGCACTGGCCACGTGTGGCGGAGCTGTAGCACTGTTCTCCTTCGTTGCATCAAGCGTCAAACTTGTTCGGAGCTTTGTAGAAAATTTCGGCGGCAGAAGCGAGGTCTAGACCCTGCCGTGGCCGTCCTAGGCGCTCACCAGCGCTCATTGGGGCCAAGGTCACTTCGCCACACAGGCGCATGCCCACCACTGGTTTTGCAGCGTGGATCCCTTAAGGGGTGATGTTGCCATTGCGAACTCTGCACTTGCGGATCGCCACGGCGGCTTCGTGGGGGATCCCTTAAGGGGTGCGTAGCGCCTGGCGGCGGCGGTGGCGGCTCAGAGCGGCGGCGGCGGCTGAGCGGCGGCGGCGGCGGCGGCGGAGGCCTTGCGTGGCGGTAGAAACCTGTTCGGAGCTGTGTATAGGGAGCTGTGATCGCCGGCGGCGGCGGCGGAGGCCTTGCGTGGCGCTAGTGTGTAGGGAGCTGTAGCGGCGGCGGCGGCGGCAGCGGCGGCGGCGGCGGCCTTGCGTAAACGGGGCGGCGGCAGCGGCGGCGGCGGCGGCAGCGGCGGCGTCGGCGCTTGCGTAAACGGGCCGCGGCAGCGCGCCGGCGGCGGCAGCGGCGGCGGCTGCGGCGGCCTTGCGTAAACCCTGGTTAGGAGCTTGTAGGGGAGCTGTGATCGCCGGCGGCGGGCGGGCGGCGGCTGCGGGCGGGCGGGCGGCGTGGGGCTCTGAGCGGCGGGGGCGGCGGCCTGAGCGGCGGCGGCGGCGCGGCGGAGGGCCGTGCGTGGGCGGTAGAAACCTGTTCGGAGCTGGTAGGGGAAGCTGTGATCGCCGGCGGCGGCGGCGGGGCCGTGCGTGGGCGGCGGCGGCTGGGCGGGCGGGACCGCTGGCCGACTAGGACGTCTCTCGTCTGCCTGCGTAAAAAAATCGTTTCGCACGGCCAGGTTAGTTGCTCGTGACTTCCGAATTTACTTAAAAGCTTGGTGGGTGCTTGGTTCGGAGTGTGTACCCTTGGACCTGCTGTTTACCTAATTTTAGGTGGCGAGCAATTTACTAAACAAAGCTTGGTTTACACTTCAAATTTACGAAAAAATTTACGTAAAAAAAAAGTGTAAATTAATTTACTTTTTATAGTAAAAAATTTACACTGCAATGTAAATTTTTTTACACTGCAAAATACATGTTTTTAGGTTACACATTCCCGAATTTGAAGAAGTGAAATGCAAGCTAATTTTGGTTGGTTTTGTTTCTTTTGTCATGGTTCTGCTTGTTGATTGCATGAGATTTTCCTGCGACTGTACAGTGCGGCATGGTCAGGTGTGAAGATAAAATTATGAGAATTGTGTTGCAAGCATACTTGTTAAGCCATGGTTTTCCATGTTGAAATCGCAGCTCGGTTTGATTCTGTGCTGGGTCGAGCCGGCGGATTGCTTGCGATGTGTGCTTTTTTTTTTTTTTAAATCGGTACATGTACATTTGCGAGAGTCATCACAATATAGTTTATACCTGCGAGGAGTCCACCTTTACCTGTGCGAGACTCTTGTAGGTTACATGCGAGAGATCTACTTATATATATATATATACTTTTCTGAGATCCGAGAGTGAGAAAAATTTTCGGACGTTGCAGCTGTGTGTTTGGTCCAGACGAGACCCAGAGGTAAGTGCGAGGCTGGATGGAGACAGAGACAAATGCATTCCATTTTTTGAGAAATCATAAATCCTATACATACACAGTATATACAGTCTTGCGAGCATGGCTTCCTTAGCAGCTGCAGCTTCGGTCAAGCTGGCGGACGGCGCTTCCGCTGCAACGGGCAAAAATGCCAAGGACCGAGTGGTTGCCGATCCGATTATTACAGCAAAGGAGCTGGCGGATGTGGTGTTTGGCTTTCTCGAGTTCAAGAAGACGAAGGACCTGTGGCCTTTACTGTGCCCCCCTCCGGGCGGGCCAATAAGCTACACTTGTCACACTGCCGCCCACGGTCCGTGGTTGGCAAAGACAGCTGGGCTGCTGTTTGACCTTCTTCGCCTCGCCCCGAACACGAAGTTGTTGTCGCAGCGGGTTCCCCGAAGCTTTTGGATCCTTCACGAGCAAAAGAACCTGCTGCTCGAAGGCCACAAAGACTACAAGGCAGAGGACCTTGTGGACAAGATGGACACCGCCATCCGTCTTCTTCTTAGCCACCTCCGTGCGATGAAGCAGAAGGAGAGCTTCAAGCGGAAAGTCTACAGGTCCCTGTCGAACGAGGATCAAGTGTGCAGTGGCTGCACATATATGTTTTTCGTGTTTTTTCGCTGTATATATAATTCGTGTGACGGAACAAAGAAGTGTTGCAAACTTTTTTTTACCTATAAGTCTGTGGAAACATACAATCAGGAAGCTTGACCTTTGCCTGGAAAGGGTGCAGGTGCAGGAGTTTGCCCCGAAGCCTCTTGATTCCCCCAGCACGGCCCTTGTTCCCGTGAACGAGGATGAGAAGCCTGTTCCTTTTCGTGGTGACGAGAAGCTTACTCCTGTGCAGGATGTTGAGTTCCCGGAGTTGCCGGAAATCTTTAAGAACAGCAGCCCGACCAAGTTTCCGGACACCTTGAAGAGCAGCGAGCCGAAGAAGTTTGCGGAGAAGTTTGTGCACATCCATAAAAGCAGCAAGCCGAAGAAGATCGTTATGAAGAAGGGCACCCTGAAGAAGAAGGCCACAAAGGCAAAGAACAAAAAGGCAGGAAAGGCAAAGATCAAGACTGGTGCCGGGGCTGAGCCGGCCAAGGATGTGGAAGTGATCTCTTCCACGGATGAGTGCGACTTGGACATCCTCAAAAATGCAATGGCTTTCATGCCGCCGGTGTCTGTGGCTGTGGCCAAAAAGAAGGGTGCTTCGAAGCCCAAAGCCACCGGCAAGCCGAAAGAGAAGAGCCCCAAGCCCAAATCCACAGCGAAGGCGAAGTCGGCGGCGAAGACGAAGGTGGCGAAGCTGGCGGCGAAGCCGAAGCCGGCGGCGAAGCCGAAGCCGGCGGCGGCGACTTCGCCGTCTAACAAATGGCTGTCCGCCGAAAAGTACGGATCTTGCAAGGTAGAGTTCTACTCTGAGAAATCCTACATCCGCAACTACGATAACGGCGGCAAGCGGAGGAGCATCATTTCCAGTTGCTGTCCGAAGCATCATGAGGTGATCGAGAAGATGATTCCCTACGTCGAGCAGGGCATCCCGCTCTTGGAGCTCTACAAGCTGCGAAAGGACGTCATGAAGTCGCTGGGGGTTTGAAAACCAAAATGTGTTCAGTGCGGGATGATGTGCACCCTGGGTTTTCTGAACTTTGTAGACTATATAACAATCTGAGTTTCAAGCATATATATGTTGTATATAAACGTGGTTTGTTTTCCCACAACTCTGAGAAAACCCATGGTTGCTAGTCACGGTGTGTTTCTATATGTCTTTCGTTTACATGTAGAGCACTACATCTGCCACAATGCCATCTAGCATAATGCATCTTTGGCCCTTTTAGTGAGAAGAACAAAAAGGGTGAACCTTCCGGCAGCAGAGGGGCAATGACTGCGAGAAAAAATGTTTCTTGCATTTGTGTGTGTGTGTGAGGTTGAGTGCTTCCTGTTCTGTGTGATATATGTATTTGATCCCTATCATATACTGTATATATAAGCCTTTGTAACCCCGAAACCACCAATAGCCTAAAGCCTCAAAGCATGTTTACTTGCGACGGTGATTTTTGTATATGTACTTGCGATGAGTTCTGCTTTTTACCTGTGCGAGTGTTTCCTTTTACATGCGATGTGAGGAGCTTTGTATATTACTTGCGAGATTTTCCTTGTGTGCACCTTTACATGCGATGGGGAGCTTTGTATATTACTTGCGAGATTTTCCTTGTGTGCACCTTTACATGCGATGGGGAGCTTTGTGTTACTTGCGAGATTTTCCTTGTGCAGCTTTACATGCGATGGGGAGCTTTGTGTTACTTGCGAGATCTCCCTGCGAGTGTGTCTTGCCTTTAAAGCAGTATTTCACAAAAACCCTCAACCCTCACTAAGCCCTAAAACCCAAAACTAATTTTAAACCCATAAACCCTATATAAACACCAAAACCCGAAACCCCAAACCCGACTCCCCAAACTTAAACCGCAAACCGACAGCCCGGATTCCTTGTGAGCCCCCAAAAAAACATTCTCCAATGTCTAACACTTTCGAGTTGGAATTGCTTGAGTTCAGAGAATGCCGGCTGAAGAGGTTTATCGAGGCTTTTTTGCGAGATGATGTTGGAGCCGAAACTTGTGGCCGTGGTCGCTGTTTCCTTTACAGCAGGAGAGACTCTAGTTTTGCTACGTAGTATCTCCTACACACGATGTGTTCGACACGATGTCACCACCATGTGCCGATGCGGCTTATCCTCACAGTATTTGTAGAAGGTTTGGATTGTAGATAGCTTCGCATAGATGCTCTGGACTTTTAAAGAATACAACCCAAAGCCATTACCGAGTTTCGGGTGTCAGGCTTTCGGCGCCGGGGCTAGGCTCTAGGCACATTTTTATCCACAAAGAATAAAGGCTGTTCACTTTAGGTGTTCTAACATATATAGCAAGTTTTGCTTCGCGGCCATGGCAACTGTCGACTGCTACCGTGTCTACGTGAAGAATGTCACGTACAGTGCGACGAAGTGGGCCACTCGAAAGAAAAGTAGCTTTGGGTTTAGGGTTTAGGGTTTAACATATATACTTTATATGTACACAAGATGTAGATATAGATAAACTCAATACACGTCTATTGGCCACAATCTGACACTCATTACTTTTCTTTTGTGTCTAATTATATATGCTTATCTACACATATATACAAAGGGTGAGGTTGGTACACATATAGACAGGCATACATATATGTAGTTACATGAGAGAGAGCCGAGGCGATCAGAGCTGCGATCGAAGAGCTCGGGGTGCTGGACTGCCGCAACATCCAGGTCGTGAGGGAACGGTACTGGGAGAAGAAGCTGCAGCGGCCAGATCACTGCAGCCTCTTCTTGGAGTTCGCAACTTGGTTTTTTTAGAGGATGCTGCGACCCCTATATAAACCCTAAACCCTAAACCCTATAAACCCCAAACCCTTAACCCCCAAACCCTAAACCAAAGGACTCGGCGGATGCGGCTGAGCTTGCCCGGGCTTCGCTCGACGGGCAATGGCATGGGCGGATGGCGACGAACAAGTACCTGGTGGCAGAGCTGGCGAAGCCGCCCCCTTCGAAAGCTTCGAAGGAAGACGAGTCGTGGGGCAAGTGGGCGCCACCAGCCCAAGAACAGCCGCCTTGGAAAGGTCCTCCGCCCACCCCCCCTCCACTGGGCCAGGCACCACCGCCATCCCAAAGCCCACCAGAGCCCAATGTCCCAGAACCAGCACTCCCACCAAAAGCCAAAGCAATGCCGACCCAGCCCCCGTACCCACCGCCGCAACACCTTGCACCACCACCCCCAAAGGTTCCACCTGAGCAACTTTACGGTTTGGAGACGGTGAAGCCGCAAGCCTGGGAGCTCTGGGTACATGGTGGTCCACGACCCAAAGAATCTTGCATTGCATAGTTCAACAACATGTTTTGTTACACATATCTGCATGTGTTTTTATATAAATGTATATATAATCAACATGTGTACAAAGAGCTATAGGGCAGCTAGGGGGGCCAAATCTAAGAATGCTATATGGCATCATGTGAGAACCCCAAACGACCCGCCCTAAGATTCATAGTTTCATGTTCCGACGACAACACCAGCCCCAGGAGGATGCTGCTGCCCCGCTTGCAGAAGGAGCCTTCGATTCGAACACCAAGACCCAGGCCTGTGGGTGTGTGTACCCTTACTTGTGAGAAGAAGAACAAACTCCAGAGCCACACAATGAAGTAGAGCTCCCACAAAAAAGGACGACAAGCAGCTGCCGCTGGAGCCGGCTGGACCAAACTCGGTGGTGGATGACGGTGCAGTACCCGGGCCGAATCATTTAAGCCATCACCCTGCAAGTAAAAGAGGGCCCTAAATCGGAACTCCACAAACCTATACACAGCAAACGGTTGCTTCGGTTGCTTATATATACTATATATATAGTGAAAGGAAGCTGTGGCCGAGAAAGCCCCAGTCGTCGACGTTAAGCCCTGGAATGAGATGACGGCTGCTCGGTTGGCTGTGGCCCTATAAAAACCTTACTTTTCCAGAACCTTCAACCCTAAACCTTGAACCCTAAACCCCTAAAACCTAAGCCCTAACCCTAAACCCAGACAACGATTCCCACCCAAACTTTGTGGTTTTTGAAACCAAAAGCTATATCCAGTGAATCCTCCCAACTCCAAGCTCTATCCCCAGGCCCAAGAGCAATATGACTGGGCTCTTCTTCACTCTGGCGAGCCTTACACGGGACCAATTCCAGAGCCTTTTTCTGCGATAGCAGCAACCTCAAAAAAGCCGCTTTATAAACCGGCACCAAACCAATAGAGCCGGTTTAGGGTTTAGGGTTTTTAGGGTTTCTCTCAAAAATAAAGTGTTCTATGAGCCAACAGCCTTATGTTTAGGAGTGTAGACTTTTTTGTCAACCCTAATTTCTGCCCGAGTCTGTGTGTATTTTTACTTGCGAAGAAGAAGAGTGTGTGTTTCTTCGATATATAGACAACACAAAACCGAGGAAGAGTTTGGCACTGGCTTCCCACCGGAGCCGCCGATCGTCAAGCCGAAGCCGTCTGCGAGGAAAGTGGCCCCGGCCGTGGCCCCGGCCGTGGAGCCGCCCGTGGACCCGCGGCTGAAGCGGCAGATCGAAGCTGAGCAAGCCAATGAGCCGCCCAGCAGTGTAGATGAAGAAGAGAAAGAGAAGAAGAAGAAGAAAAAAAAGAAAAAAGAGCTCAAAGCCAAGAAGGCAAAAAAGGAGCCGACCCCACCCCCAAAGGAGCCCAGCCCGACTTCCGAGGATGAAGGTGAAGATGTTGAAGAGAACAGGGCTCGGAGCTCGGGGCGGGCTCGTAGCTCGGGGCGGGCTCGTAGCTCGGGGCGGGCTCGTAGCTCGGGGCGGGCTCGTAGCTACTCTAGGCGGGCTCGTAGCTACTCTAGGCGGGCCAGTAGGAGTCGTGCTCGTAGCTACCGGAGCCAAAGGCGAAGGAGCTACCATGGTCGCAGCCGTAGCTACGGTCGTCGGCACAGGAGTGACAGTCGTAGCTACCGCAGGTACAGAGGCGACAGTCGCGGCCGATACCATCGTCGTTACTACCGCCGTTGAATATAAT